CTCCTGGCCTCTGCTCTGCTCCAACATTGCTAGCGGGTGACTCCCGGGGACCTCCTTCTTTGCTGTCTGTCCCAAACGGGGCTGCCCCTCGTCTGCATCTCTCGGGCCTGCATAAGAAGCCTCGGCCGCTCCTCTGCCAACCAGCGACTTTCAACACCTCACCCCGCCTCCCCATTGTCTGTGGCTCCCCTTACTCCTCCCAGACTTCAGCTGTCCCCACTCCCCTGGGATTTCCTTCTCCCACGTCCCAGCGGAGTCCCTCGGGGCTGGGTGGCTTGTCATGGCATGTCTGTCTTCAACTCTTTTCTCGGTCCCGTCCCGCAAAAATCTCTCAAAACATCACCACACCTGCCCCAGCCCATGCCCCACAGGGAGCCTGTGTCAGCCTCATCTCAGCAACCAGTTCTGGGGTGTGTGTGAGTCCCTGGGTTGGAGGTGTCCTGGTACTGTGCCACCCAGCATGGCCAGGGTACACATCAGGTGGGTCTTGTAGGAGGCGAGGGAGCATCTGGAGACACAGGGGATGTAGTCTTGCTTTCCAAAGGCTCATGGAGTCATCGAGGGACCAGAAAACACACACACGTGTGAAAATGAGCCAACCACCACATCAATGTGCACTTGAATCTGGGAGCTACTGAGCTTGGGCAAAGAAGCCAACAGGGCAGCATGGTGGCATGAATCAAGGAAAACTCCCTGGAGGAGGTGAGATCTGGGCCTGTCCACTGCCCGGTAGAGCAAAGGAGATGGAAGGCTTTTGCTTCAAGGCCTGATGGACTGAAAGCAGAGTCAAGACTAAGTGTCCAGGAATTCAGATCTTTGGTGGCTCAGAGTTTGACTACAGGTTGGGGTTTGTGGTGAGTTGCCAAGGCAACCGAGAGGGCTTTCAGAGAAGAGAAGAGTGACAGTGGGCTAAGGAGATGGAGACGAAGCGAGAGGAACCCGGAAGAGGAGGGCGGAATGGTCTGGGCAGAGCATGGGGATGGAGGGGTCCGGGTGTGAGATTGGGTGTGGGGGGTGCAGGGAAAGACGTGCGGGTGCGGGTGATGCAGGCAGGCCAATGACAAGAGGGGTCACATGAAAGGAGCAGGCTTGGAGTCAGGCGTTGGATAAGTGCGGCCTGTCGGTAACCAGCTGGGGGACTTCTGGCACATGTTTTAGCCTCTACGAACCTAAGCTGTCTTTTCTTTAAAATGGGGCCAATACCCACCACCACGTGGACTTTTTGTGATGTCTGAATGAGATGTGGCTCCTAACACATCACTGGTTCCTGCCTCATGAGTGGCTCCATCTCCACTCATTCGGCTTTGTTTTATAAATGCAGACTACACAAATAGGCCAGGAGGGAGGGTGTGTGGCTCACACCTTTGTCTCACATATATGTTTTTTAACATCCTTCTGCACCCGCCACCGTCCTGGGGACATCATAGGAGTTGAGGAGCTTGGTCAGTTGGCGGCACTGCCATTCCAGCCCCACTGAGTTGTCTCAAGAGTGACCAGTGGAAAACAAGAGTTTGATTCAGAAATCAGAAGATTCCCAGGGACTGACTGTATGACTCAAGCAAACTTTTTTTCACTTTCTCGGGCTGCATTCCTGCTTCTCTGCCAGACAGGTTAGATGGGTGGTCTCTGAGTCCCTGTGGAGGGATGTCTTCTGTGATTCCCTGTGCACTTGTTTATAGGAACCAGTTCTACTTGCCCAGCTTTGAGCTCCAGTTTAGAAGGAAGATCAGTTGAGTTGAAGTCACAAGAACCTGCATAATGAACATTTGTATACCTAACCCTGAATTATACCCCACGTCTTTAAAATAAAGAAAAGGAAAAACACAAAGAAACAAACCAACAAAAATACATTAAATAACCAGAAAAAAAAAATCACAAGAGCCAGGTTCTAGTCCCAGATGTGCCTTTTTCCTATCTGGAGTGTCTAGAGCCAGTCATTCCTCTCTCTGATTCTCTGTCTTCCGTTTTATAAAAACGGGTTGAAAACAGCCTGACTGCCTAGTTCTCAAGGCTCTTGTGGGGGCAGTGCTTGTGTGTGCTTGGGAGTGGCGAGCTGTGTGAAGTGAGTCGACGGTGACTTCTAGGCCGCCTGCTCCTTCTGGCTTTGCCTGTCTCCCTTCGTATGGCAGCGCTGAGAACACCTTTTGCAGCCCTGTAAATTGCCTATCCGTTGCCTGGCCATCCACCTCCTTGCTTCTTCTCGATGTCAGTTTCTTACTTTACAGATGGAGACATGGATCACCGCCAGGATCTGTTTCTGGTTGGCACATGCATGCACACAAACATGCACACGCATACACATACCCCTCCAAAGTGCTAGAAGGAATCGATTGTACAGAACACTATGTCTCATGAGGGAGTATGCCGAACTCAAAGATTTGCGATTGCCTGACAGAAGATAATTAGGCAACAGTCATTACCATGCGAAGATGTCCCAGGCTTCATTGTTCCCAACAAGGCCTGGATTACTCATTCCCTAAAGAGACGGTTGGTTTAGCTGCCTAAGGATGTTAGAGCCAGGACAGAGTCCCAGACAGCAGTTTCATGGAGATGAAGAGGAAGAAGGGGAAGAGTGGAGAGACGGGGAACGCTTTCTGTAGCAGGGTGTGGGGACATTCTGGGGAACAGAGGAGGACAAGGCTCGGTGATAAGGAGTGGGGTGGAGGGGATGGACACAGCCATCCCCTTTCAGACTAAAGGGCCTTCGGACCAGAGGGTCTTCACAGCTTCCCTTTCTCCTGCAGATCTCGTACTCCACAGTGGCTGGTGCCCATACACGTTTGTAATTTACCACTCAGAGTTGCTGGGAGCCAGCTGATGTTGGAGCTGGCTTCTTCCCTTATTTTTAACTTCAGAGTTGTGGGGTACAAGTGAGGATATACTACATAAGTAAGTTGCATGTGGGGGAGTTTGGACTTGGCGCAGGCCCTCTCTCCACCTGATAGTGGATCTGGTCTCCAGTTATGGCCACACGCCCCCCTCCCTCCTCCCTCTCTCTCTCCCCTAGCAGTGTCTAGCAGCTACTGACCCCCTTGTGCTCACATGGCTTCTTCCCTTTGAGTCTCAGTTCTGCGTACTTGTGCACATGTGGGGAGCACACTGGGCTTCTCAGAAGTCTCTGATTGAAATCCGTATGGGGTTCTGATCTTTCCAGATCTCAGTGCCACTGCTGTCCATTGATATTGATCAAGGACTGCTCTCCAGGAAGGCCCCTGGGGTTTCCTGGCCCATGGCAATGTACGCTGGGTACTCTCGAACTTGGATGGAAACAAAATGTCCTCACTAAACTCTGCGGCTCCGAAGACCTCTTCTCAGAGGGAACTGAAGAACCATTTTTTCCCCTAGTACTTGCATGTGCCAGGAGCCAGGGATTCAGAGGGATAATGTAGGGCCCCCAGCCCTCAGAGCCATCTGGAGTGGGACAGCTTCCTGTGCTGTCTGGCGTGACACCTAGCAGGCAGGACAACTTGAATTGAGTTGCTGTGCAGCCATCCAATGTGCTAGTTGGCATCCCACACACCTTAGCCCGGTGTCCTCACTTCAAATCCCAGCTATGCCACTTGTCATCTGTGTAGCCTTGAGCAGGTTATTCAGTTCTGGTGCCCCAGTTTCCTCATTTTTAAAATGGGCAGAATGATAGCATCTATTTCAAAGTTGTTGTGAAAATTAAGTGAATTAATACACATAAAATACGTAGAACAGTGCCTGGTATGTGGTCAGTTTTTTTTTTTTTTTTTTGAGTTGGAGTCTCACTCTGTCACCCAGACTGGAGTGAAGTGGCCGCTCCCGGCCACTGCAGCCTCGCCTGCTGGGCGCCGGCGATACTTCCGCCTCAGCCTTCCAAGTAGCTGGAATTGCAGGCGCGCGCTACCATGCCCGGCTGATTTTTTGATTTATTGTAGAGATGAGGTCTTGCTGCCCAGGCGGGTCTCGAACCCGCGGGCTCAGGCAATCCACTCACCTCAGCCTCCCAAAGGCGCGGGATTACAGGCTGAGCCACCGAGCCCGGCTGTGGTCAGTTTTGATACCTGTTTGCTATTATTATTATTACCTCCAGAAATAATTGAAACTTCTCAGATCAGGCTTTCCAGACTCTCCTTGTTAATCTTCCCTTCCAAATCTGCAGTTGTCTCTCTTTCTAATCCCATGTGAGGCTTGAGCCACCGGCCTTGTATTCACCCCTCCACTTTTCAGAATGTACTGAAAAGGTAGCTTCTACCTACGCTGCTCATGAGCTTTTTACCCGGTGTTTGCATGTAATCCATTGGCACCCGCTTTTTGTTGCTGGTGTCTCTGTCTCCTGTCCTGCCTATATTTGAGGAAAAGGGACAACTGAGAAACCTAGGGAAAAAAAATCCATGTCTTTCCCTTCTGGTCCTCCCAGAGCACCAACCCATCCATCCATCGATGACAGCCTCTTTCTCTTGAATTCACCAATGTGGTACATCTGTAAAGCTTGCATTTATAAAAAGACCCTTTAATTCTTTAGTTATCAAAGCCCTTCCTCTGTGTCAGGAGGTATAACTTGGTGAACTCTGAGGTTTAGAGGGCAGATCTCAGACATGGGCCAGGGAGTTCTTCTAAGACCCAAGCACAGGGGGCTGTACCTGCTGTGCATAGCTAGAGAGTGTGCTTAGTAGCTTATAAGGGCAAGGCGAGAATGGAAACTTACAACGCATTTGTGATGGGGGTTATGAAATCCTATGAAGAAACACAAGGCAGAAGATGTGGGGTCCTAGTTTCCCAAAGTCACAAATGCTTCAAGAGAGATCTTGTCAGATAAAAGGATTACCACATGAGCCAATCTTGCATGCACAGCAATTTTGAGAGCCCATCCTGGGAGCTAGGTGTGTAGTGTTTGTTGTATTGTTGAGGCTCGTAAAAATCTTGTATGGCTGCAGGCAAGCCAATCCCTTGACAGGCACTGCATCTCCACTGACTCCAGAGGACCAAGCCCATTTTCTTCACTGTATATAAGGGGAAGACAGTGAGCTTGGGGTAGAGGAGTGTTTGGCTCCTTCCCTCACTCTTCTTCCCTCCTGCTTGTCTCTAAGTCAACATGAATCGGCAGTTTAGTTGCAGGTCTGGGTACCGGAGTGGAGGGGGCTTCAGCTCTGGCTCTGCTGGGATGGTCAGCTGCCAGCGCAGGACTACCAGCAGTTCCATGCGCCGCAGTGGGGGCGGCGGTGGGAGATTTTCAGCCTGCGGCGGCGGTGGTGGTGGTGGCGGCAGCGGTGGTTTTGGAAGTCGGAGTCTTGTTAACCTTGGTGGTAGCAAAAGCATCTCCATTAGTGTGGCCAGAGGAAGCGGACGTAGTGGTTTTGGTGGTGGTTATGGTGGTGGTGGCTTTGGTGGTGGTGGTTTTGGAGGTGGTGGCTTCGGAGGTGGTGGCTTTGGAGGTGGTGGCTTCGGAGGCGGTGGCTTCGGAGGCGGTGGCTTTGGTGGGGGTGGTAGTTTTGGCGGTAGAGGTGGTTATGGGGGTGGTGGATATGGGGGTGGCCAAGGGCCTGTCTGCCCCCCTGGTGGCATACAGGAAGTCACCATCAATCAGAGCCTTCTGCAACCCCTCAATGTGGAGATCGACCCTGAGATCCAGAAAGTGAAGTCGCAGGAAAGGGAGCAAATCAAGTCACTCAACAACCAGTTTGCCTCCTTCATCGACAAGGTGAGTTTTCCTGCTCGGTGCACTTGGAGGGCTGCTGCGAGTCCACTGGGAATTGGTGCAGTCGAGACGTATGTGGGTTTGGACCTCAAGTGTTCGTATTTGGATGATTCAAAGGCTGTTTTGTGGAATGGTCTCCTGGGAGATGTGTTGGAAGTAGGCTTGTGAGTGGTGCTAATGACTAAACTCTCTCTTGGACAAAGGGGATGGTGGTCTATGTAAACACAGGTCAGTTCAGCATTTACATTTAAGTGTTTTTAAAACCCGCTCTCGAGCTAAATCTAATATCTGTTGAATGAAGAGACTAGAAATGAACCTAACTGAACTTTCTAAGGGCATATCAGAATCCTGGAAAGATCTCCCTAACCATGAAAAGGAAGCTGAGTGTGGACATGGTATATTGTGATATTGTAACAGAAAGTCCATAGCAAGTCAGTGCCCATCATCCTTTGCTGTCAGAGGGGAACTTTGCCCTCTGAGAATTGGTACTGGATCAGAGTGGGAGTTTTAAAATACTAATATTTCTAAGCATCAGCTCTGGAAAAACACATAAACTATTTTTTACTTTTTTGCTTAATCACAAGGATAACCTTGTAGTGCCAATGCAAGGTTATCCCCAATAAATTTCAAATCCAATTGTGGATTTTCACAACATACTTTTGAACTGTGCGTATGCCCAGGACATGCCAGCCAATTTTTGTGGCAATCTACTTTAAAAAAACGGGAAGACCAATCTCTTTAATTTCATGTATCTATTTCAAAACATAACCGCAATCATTTTATATGTGCTTTGCTATTGTTGTCCGTGTGGCTCCTCCCTTCCAGTGCTTCTCTGAACTAACAGTGAGTTAGGTTTTATTATGAAAAGGATAACTTGATCGTCTTCCTATTTCTCTGTTTGTTGTGGCCAGGATATAAGAATTGAAGTTCTCTTCCCAATGGGTCATGGGTCTTGCTGTGTGCTGGTGCCCAGAATTCGGTGGCCGTGGGGCCCTATTTCTGCAGCAGGGGCAACAGTCGTGGGGTCTTGTGTTTTTAGGTGAGGTTCCTGGAGCAGCAGAATCAGGTGCTGCAAACAAAGTGGGATCTGCTGCAGCAGGTGGACACCTCCACCAGAACCCACAATCTAGATCCTTACTTTGAGAACTTCATCGCCCTGCTCAGAAGGCAAACAGAACAGCTGAAGAATGATCAGTCTCGGATGGACTCAGAACTGAAGAACATGCAAGACATGGTGGAGGATTATCGGAACAAGTAAGGAAGTTCGGCCGGGCGGTTACTGACTCTTGCTTTAAAAGAGTTTCAGAAAGTCATCAGTTAGGACGAGGAAGCAGGATGTAGCTGTGTCTTTTCTTAGGTTAGAGGCAGTCTGACATTTTCAGAAATCCTCATCTTCTCAGAAGGTGGAAATAGTCTAGTGGTTTCATTGTGTAGAAGACAAGAGTGGTCAAGGTGTCCTAGGCTCATACTAGGAAGGCAATGGCAGGAATGCCAGTTTTCATATAGAATGCTGAACTCCAGGCCTCACTTCCTCTGAAGCTCCTAAGCATTTCTGCTTTCCTGCAGATACGAGGATGAGATCAACAAGCGGACAAATGCAGAGAATGAATTTGTGACCATCAAGAAGGTGAGCAAATCCTGTAGGATGGAACTCACTTCTGAAATACATAGTAGAAGAGGGCCTCCGATGACTAAGCAGAGAGGAGCCGTGGTGTGGAGAACCAGAGAGTAGTGGGCCTGAGGAGTTTCTGGAGAGGGGTTGATTTTTTCATATCACCACGGGCCTAGACTAATCTGGGTACTCGACTTCTCCATATGTCTCAGCACTTTACCTAGTAAGAGGGGAGGGGAGTTCTCGGCAAGTCAGGCAGGCTCTTTTTTTGGTGTGATCTCCAGGGGTGGAGTGATCCAAGAGTTGTGATCCACCTGAGGTAGATCTACCTGGAGCAGACCCCAAGCTCCTCTTCTGCTTGGAAAATCTCCTCCAGCCAGTGAGAGGGCCCTGCCTTGGAGAGAGCACAGCTTCATGATGTCCTTTGTTCCTCTAGGATGTGGATTCTGCTTATATGAACAAGGTGAACCTGCAGGCCCAAGTTGACAACTTGCGGCAGGAAATTGACTTCCTCACAGCACTCTACCAAGCAGTAAGTCTTCTAATTTCAACCAAGTTTTCCTAAATGGAGAGTCTTTAAGCCTGAACCCAGTAGAAGAATAGACATGTATCTTCCAGTTCTTGATCCCTCCCTCCAACCCTCCCTCCAAGTCTTTTTTTGGGGGGGTGGGCACTAAAACTGGACTGTGATGTTTTGCAGGAGGTGTCTCAGATGCAGACTCAAATCAGTGAAACCAGTGTCATCCTGTCCATGGACAACAACCGCACCCTCGACCTGGACAGCATCATTGCTGAGGTCAAGGCCCAGTATGAGGAGATCGCCAAGAAGAGCAAAGATGAGGCCGAGACCTTGTACCAGTCCAAGGTGAGTGGCCAGAATGCCTGGCCAGTTTCTCTGAAATGTTTTGCTTTCCTGCATTATCTCCTGTATTGTCACCTGCTCCATGCTGTGCCTATGTGTAACAAATGTCTTCAACCCTCTTTAGTATGAAGAGCTGCAGATGACTGCTGGCAAACATGGGGACAGTGTGAAAAACTCCAAGATTGAGATCTCTGACCTGAATCGTGCAATACAGAGACTTAGATCTGAAATTGACAACGTCAAGAAGCAGGTACTTGCTTCTCCCCTTCTAGCACTCAGCTTACAGAATGGGGGTGGCCCTCAGGTCACGGGATGTGCTTGACTAGTTTTGAATTTTGCGATCCATGTCAAGGCCACACTGTGATCCCCTGTTCCTTTGAAACGATGTTGGTTTCCAGAATTCAGCCACCGTGCTGGTTCCTCTTTAGGGAAACTTGCTGGAGAAAGATGATGCGATGGTCGGTATAAGTGACCTAGCCCATGACACAAGTGGGACTTGAGGGTTGGGCAGGCAGCCAGGAGGAGTCTCAACTCAGGGCCAAGGGAGGCTGTTGCATGACTCCTCAGGTCTTTTAGGGGAGGCCAACATGGCGAAGTGCTATCCAGAGTGAGATGGCCTCAGGCCCAGTGGTTCTGTTGAACTCATGTGTTGGCCTCACTGGGTTGGCGGGATCAACTGAGACGAGGTGGCTGAAGTGGGATTAGGTCATAGGAGAGGGCATTATCTCTGCTTTTCAGATCAGCAACTTGCAGCAGTCCATCTCAGATGCCGAGCAGCGCGGTGAGAATGCCCTCAAGGACGCCAAGGGCAAGCTGAATGACATGGAGGATGCCCTCCAGCAGGCCAAGGAGGACCTGGCCCGTCTGCTGCGTGACTACCAGGAGCTCTTGAACATCAAGCTGGCCCTGGATCTGGAGATTGCCACCTACAGGACCCTCCTGGAGGGCGAAGAGAGCCGGTGAGAAAGGGACCCGGCAGGTGGACCACTTCTTACGGGCTTCCTTCCCTGCCAGCTGGCTGTTGCTGAAGACACAGCCGTCTGGCTGCAGTTGGTACTGGGAATAGGGGCATGAGAGTACACAGGATGGGAACGAAGAGCTGGTTTCCACTTTGGGAGCCGGGGGCCCAAGCTTTTCCATGTTTCTTTTAGGTCTGGAAGACATCTATGGAAAACTTAGAGCTGGAACAATGTGTTCTTTATCAGGTGTCCTCTGGCCTAAAGTCAATGCCTTTAGGGGTGGCCCTCGTGCACTGCAAGCCCCTTATCTCATTTCTCTGAGATCACCCCCAATTTGTACTCTTGCTAGAAAAAAAAATAATGGCAGGGTTGGGAGACCAGAGGGGACTGGACTAGATTTCAGATCAAGTAGCTTGGAGGAGCCCCAAAGAGGAGAGTCTCCCAGATGGTGGAGAGGGCATGAGGGGAAGAGGTTTGTGACGCTGGAGTGTCCTGAAGGGCTTCTTTTTTTTCTAATTCCCTCCTGCAGGATGTCTGGAGAGTGTCCCCCGAGCGTGAGTGTGTGTAAGTACAAGCTGATTTCCCAGGGGCACGTGCTGGCTTTGTTGGGCTGAAGAGGGTTTGGGGGTTGGAGGTGACCGAGACATCTCCTCTTGCAGCGGTGAACACCAGCCACACCAGCATCAGCGGAAGCAG